TGTTGTGTGTCGTGTGTGCGTGTGTTGAGTGATTTTGGTGTTGTGTGTTGTTTTGTTGTTGCGTGCATGCGTGCGTTGTGGGTGTGTGTGTGTTGTTTTTGTGTGTGGTGTGCGCTTGGTGTGTGTGTTATGTGCGTGTGTGCGTGGGTGGGTGTGTGTGTGTGGGTGTGTGTGCGTGTGTTTGTGGGTGTGTGTGTGCGGGAGGGTGTGTGTTTGGGTGCGTGTGGGTGTGTGTGTGCGTGTGTGAGTGAGTGTGGGTGTGAGGGTGTGTGTGTGAGTGCGTGTGCGTGTGTGTGTGTGTGTGGGTGTGTGGGTTTGTGTGTTTGCGTGTGTGTGCGTCTGGGCGTGTGTGTATGGGTGTGTGTGTGAGTGTGGGTGCGTGTGTGTGTGCGTGTGGGTGCGTGTGTGTGTGCGTGTTTGCGTGTGTGCGTGTGTGTGTGTGTGTTTGCGTGTGTGTGTGTGTGAGTGTGGGTGTGGGTGTGTGTGTGTGTGTGTGTGTGTGGGTGTGTGCGTGTGTGTGCATGTGTGCATGTGTGAGTGTGAGTGTGCATGTGCATGTGTGGGTGTGTGTGTGTGCGTGTGTGCTTTGAAAACTACTGCCCAGGTTGAAGGCCTCTCGGTGGGCATAACACTAACCACCGGCCCTCAGAGTTTAATGAGGTATCAGCAGGGACGAGGCATTCCAACCTCCTACAGACACTCATTATGTTTATTATGTATATATGTATATAGTTATCCTATTAATATATGTATTTTACTGTATTTTAAGTCATTTTGTGGCTATAAGATCTCCCAACTAATCACCTAATAAAAGTAGAAGTAGTTGTTAGTAGTTTGAATTAGTCCCTTGGGCCCAACTGTCAATCATCTGACTCCGCCCCTGTAGTTAGGGAGACTGCAAAGGGGAAAAAAGATGGATGACTTTTCTACTTTTACCAGGTAAATTGACAGTGTAAGAACAGTCTTAATGGTAGGAACCAGGTATGAATAAATTCTCACCTGGGCTTACCTGAGTTGCAGTGAAGAGGAAAATGGTAGAATGAGTCAATCAGAAGCTGGAAACGGGATGAGTAACACTTACTGTAGCTTCATAACTACTGCGTTTGAATTTAACCACCGGCTGTATTGTCAAGTAATGACGTCTCAATATTGATGCTTCCTATCAATACTTTGAATACTTTTATGTCGCCAACATGTTCATCGATAAAGTCATAACACTGTAGCTGTATTGTGCAGATGGTGTGTGTGTGTGTGTGTGTGTGTGTGTGTGTGTGTGTGTGTGTGTGTGTGTGTGTGTGTGTGTGTGTGTGTGTGTGTGTGTGTGTGTGTGTGTGAGACAGATGGGGGTGAGTGAGTAGGCCAAGACATCGATCTGACCTTGAGCTGGACAGCTGAATGACATTGAACTGAACTATGACATCATTGATTTGGATTTAGTATACAATATATTGAGTGTGTTCTTCAAACCATATAAGACAACAATAATTTGATACATGTATTTATAGTAATGAGTAATAACACTGCTATTAGTATATTATTATTATTATAGCAGTAATACATTAGAAACAGTTGACTGGGACCCTATCATGCATGTATGGAGCTTTACTTTGAGCCATTCCCAGTCCCACGATTCTTAAAGTCCCCAATTCGTTCTCCCTAGCAGCAGGAGAAACCGTGACTCCTTCAATTGGACGGGAGTCAGAGGGAGGGCATATTGCCACAGACGTTAACAAGCGCGTTCACCTTTTACAATCAGAGCCCCGTTTAGCTCGAGCGCTCCCCGGGGCTATGCGATATTTACCGATGAATTATGTATCAGAGCTCGAGATGAAAGGCGACAGCGTGAGCCACGAGCAATATGGCTTCACTCATCTGAGAGACAGGGGAAACGAAATATTAGAGATATTAGTTGTTTATTTAATCATTTAGGGTTATCTTCGAAATATAATGAAGGCGAAGGACTGTAGGCGATAATAAATTGAATAGCATTCCATATTTCACTTGAATTTGAAAGCGTTTGAAAGCTTGAATTGGAGGGCTATAGCCTAATGTTTAGTTTCTATAGACCACACTCTTGCAAACCAGGCTGGTTCAGGGGCCTGACCTTCATTGATTTAGTTTTACTGCCATTAATTCATGTAGCAGATGGCCATAAACACCGTCTAACCGGTATAATAACACTACTTAGTTTTCAGTTTTCACATAAAGTTATTCAGGCATCATTCAATAAATCACGATTAAATTGGCACATTTAAGGAGTAGGCCTACAGGCGCTTAAAAAAGCGATAGAGAAATTACAAGCAGACTAAGGCTATTATTTTGCAGAACATTTTGCACCTAAACCAGTGAGTAGGCTGCTACCAATGCAGTGACAACTAGACAGTGAAAAGAGCACTGGTAACAATTAGCTTGCAGGATAATCAAATTCAGACGCTAATCCCCACCAAGACGCAACCTGTCCCCTAGGACAGAAATGGGAGAGGGGGAGGGAAGAGGGAGGAGTGGAGGGGTAGACGTGGGTGAAGAGAAACAAGAAAGTAGCGGTTGTATTCACAGATAAGCTGTGTGAATTCGTTCTTGAAAAAGCCTTTGAAATATCCCAAAATATTTTTCTCTCTCTCTAAATTCATAAAGCTAAAATGACAGTGAGCAAAAAAATATATATTTTGACAGGAAAGGGAATCATTTAGACATTTTTTAAATAAAAGAAAATGAAGGATATTATTTCTGAGGGAATAGCAGGCACAAGATGTGTGAATATGTGTGAGAAGGGGGTTGTTTGAAAGAGAGAGAGAGAGAGAGAGAGAGAGAGAGAGAGAGAGAGAGAGAGAGAGAGAGAGAGAGAGAGCGATGAGGGGTGCTGCGTGTGCCAGAGATTTTAAATCTCCCTGAGAGGGTTACATTTACCAAACCGTGACAGTCAGGTCCCCAATAATGTATATTCCCCTTCCTCATGGCGGGGCCTGGCTAGAACTTCAACACTTATAAATCAGTGCAGTCGACAAACAAACATGTATAACAATAATAATTTAGCAAACATTATCTATAAAATAATTTAGAAATGGTTGATATTTTATGGTGGTGAAATATCGTTTAGCATGTGATTTGGATATTTGGTTCAAACTAGTTTAAGTAAACAGAATAAAAACAACAAAACTAAACCGATTAGGCTAAAAAGCACGAACGACAATTACTCGAGTAGGGCTCTTTGCCCTAACATACAGCGGGACTGGTTAATTTGTGTGAAACGTTATTGGTATAATTAATCGTTTGATTGCTCTTCGCGAGTCATCCTCACCTTTGCCAAGAAGATAGGGGCGCAGCTGTGCGCTCGCGGAGTACACGCCATTGGATCATCGCTCATTGGGGGCGCGAGCTCTTCTCAGGAGACCAGTGGTATTTTTAATGACACTGATAGCCATGATATGATATGGGCTACGGTGAGGACGGTCACAACACATTTTTAATCAGCCCATTGGTAGCCTATTACGTCGCATCGGAACGTTCAACATCACTCCACATCATTTCCCTCGCTTTATTCCATTGGCTGTCAGGGTTATTTAGCAAATCTCCCTCTGGTTAAAATGAGCAACACTCGCTCACGTTTTCGCAAAACCAAAACATGAAGGCATGCAACCACGACATTGTCATAATTTGTTTAAACTTTAATTTCTGATCAAATGACTCGGATGTTGCCTTAGCTTTGCGTCTGACTCATGGTATTATTCTCCAAAGATTAGTTTTATAAGGAGCGCTGAAAACGGACGAATCGTTCTTACCAGGCAAGTATAAAGTCGGTAGCATATAATCTAAATATTAAGCAATATATTGCCCAGTGAATGATTAATAAGGACATATTCTGTTTGCCAGAGTAACATTCTATACAGTTATTTCCATTTCATCCATCCATAGAACTGTATTGGCTATCTCTGTCTTACAACTTTTTTGTAATACTTTCCTCTTTTGCATTCTTCGGCCGATTTTATTTGTGCTAACAGTGCTAGTAATTTCCAAGCATCTCATAGGCCTATGTATCTCAATCGTGTAATTTCTTCCCTTTCAATAGCACCAAGTGCTCTTTGTGATGGAAATACCTCCGCATGGAGCGATAATTGGGGAGGCGTGTTTAAAAAGAAACTTTTTCCACCCCTCACCTCTCTGGCTCTCTGGCCATGCCGGCTGCACTGGAAGCAATACAGCTACTAGCATGATGGTCTGTAGAGGGAGAACTCAGAGCATGCTGTAACCCATATTCATCAAGACGAAAATGTTGTTTATGGATGTTGATTGAGAATAATTTCTACTCAGTGATGGTTCTATAGTTTGTTGACTGCTGGGAAAGCCCAAGTGAACGGTTGAAAGGCCCTGCATTTGCAGTTAAAATATATATTTTTTAAATGTCATGCTGTTAGCCTAATGATAATAAGATTCTTCTTCTTCTTCTTCTTCTTCTTCTTCTTCTTCTTCTTCTTCTTCTTCTTAATATGTCCGTATATTATTACCATTCTTCTTCTTCTTCTTCTTCTTCTTATTATTATTATTATTATTAGGCCTATATCTCATATTATTATTAGCCTATTATTGTTATTATTATTATTATTATTATTATTATTATTATTATTATGTAGCCTGTATCAGTTTGGGAAAGTGAGTGAGGGTGGGGGAAGTTGCCTGGCAGTCAGCTGGCTTAATAAATACAATGCCAGCCTTTGTTTTATTTTCGTGACGCAGAAAATTAATCAGCCCGAATGCGGAGCGCGCGGAGTCGCGGCTAGCGTCCTGTAATCAGGGCAGCGCGTGCCGTCCGGATTATCTCGTTAATTTTTTATTTTTTTAAAACTTCTGGCCAATAATAATTAATTCTCGGACAGGGTAATTATTATTGAACGGATGTGGAGCAACTGGTAGACGGGTCTGGGTGAAAAAAAGTGACAGATTGAGGCCGGTGGCCGTTATATATAAAAACGTATGAAGTCTCCTATTGGGATACGTGCATGAGAGGAGGAGGGAACTCGCAGTTGCAACTTCGATTCTACAGGTAGGAGCAGATTGATTCCAATCTAATGTAGGACCATGGGCTACAACGAAACATTTCCACTTTCAATTTGAATGTAACAACTTATGATTTGCTAAATGTAGGCTATTTGATTGGCAAAACTTTTTATAAGCCTATTCCTTTCATAAATAGACATGCATCCTTAGATATCATTACATTGTAATACAATGCTGTGATCCTGTGTTTGCGTATTTTTTATAGGCCAAAGTTCAAATGTAATTTCAATGTAGGCCTCTTTGAAATGTACAATACAAGTGTGCTAGATCAAGATGAAATGACGTTCTATGAGTGCTATATGGAGAAATATTGTTCGCCGTTTGGGATTATAATATATAAGGCTGTATTTTTAGGCCAATAGTCTAATAATTACAACCCAAATACATTGTTTCCTTTCTGGATTATGGGCGATTGACAGCTAGATTGTTGATTCTTACTCATTCCAAACAAATGTACATAAGGATTCCTGTAGGCTATTAGACCTAACAGTGTAGGCTACATTTAATATCAAACACGATTTAGTTGAATTTATGAAGGGAACATTTTAATTTCGTGTAGAATATTGTTTTATTACAGGAAATAACTCTCTCTAAACCGAATGAGAGAAATGTGATCGGTTCTTAATTGCAGGGCAAGTGCTTGTTTGCTTAGATTAAGATGAAGTGGTTTTTGCTAATCAACACTCGATAGTCTCACCAACTAAATCTAATTACCGGGAGCTATTAATTAGGTGGAAATCGCCCAGGGAGTGTCAATAATGTCGGCTCGAATTACAATTTTGGAACAGTTTCTCCAAGTTTCTAGTCATTTTGCTAAATTGCCGTTCACATTTAAATGTACAATACATTTAAATGTATAAGGGATTTGGCCCTTTCAGCGGACACATTCTATAGATAGAATGTAAGATGCTGTGGTAGTTTAATTGCCTGAATATGTAGAGCGCTGGGTTTACAGTATTGTCTCTTTTTTTGTCGCCAACGGCTCTTTTGTCATCAGCATTATTTATCTGGTCAACAGTGGGCTTTGTCTTTGCAAATGGCCCCCAATCATGCCGTCTATACTGGAGACAATTAGCTGATGCTAACCTGTGGGTACTATGCTAATAGCCGCCTTGCCTTGTTGGGGCCCAATGTGTGTCCGCATTTTAACGACAATGTTTTTGTTCTCGGAGAAGGCGTGCTGAAATGATGGGATGTTTTTGGTGCTGGTGGGACGTGGTGGGGGTGGTGGCGGTGTGTGTGTGTGTGTGTGTGTGTGTGTGTGTGTGTGTGTGTGTGTGTGAGGGGTGGGAGGTAGTAGGTGGCGCAAACGTTTGTGAGACAGACAGAGGATCCTCAGTCCACAAGGACAGCTGGGGGTCTCCGATCTGCTTTAAGAGCGCTGGCGGTGCAGGACGACGCTCATTTTTTAAATTCACCACGCTGCGTAAAGAGCGCGTAACGTCTCCAAAGAATAACCAAGGACTTATCCTCTAACCAAAATCTCTCTCTTTCCTGTTGTGTTCTGTTCAGGTTTCGGACAGAATTGAGAAGAATCCAACACCTGAGGACTAAAATAAAAAAGGGTATTTTTCAACGCCTTTTCGTTTTCAAAATTCTCTGCAACTTCGCCCTTCGATCGGAGGCAAGAATGATGTCTTATCTGAAGCAGCCGCAGTACACAGTCAACGGTCTGAGTTTATCTGCCTCCGGAATGGACATGCTCCATCCGTCTATCGGCTATCCAGGTGAGGGCATGGAAGACTTCACATTTCTTACACAAATAACCATAAAATAATGAAATGACCTCAAATGGCTTAGGCCTATTGCATAGCTAACGAAATTATGATTAAATGAACTGATAACGATAAACTAAAAACAGGTAAATAAATAAACTAATGTAGACTTGGAATTATCATTTATTAGAAAAGTTGTGTTTTCGATATGATTTGCCTATAATCAATCATGTCCATTGGCTTTATAAACATTCTCATCTTGCTTATGTCTATAGTGAATTATCTAAACTACCAGGGGGAAATGTTGTACATTAAACTCAATAATATTATTCTGGTCCTCGTGGGGTGTACTACATGTCAATTATTAATTATCCTAAACAAACAAGAATCATGTCTTGGAAACGTTTGCAAATTGAGATCTGAGCAAGGGAAAATATTCCCTGTCTGAAATATCAACCGAAAAACGATTTATCCATCTTAACATAGCCTAATTGCTCATGATCAAAGTTGCAACTTTAGGCCTATCGACAAGCCACATTGATTAGCCCATGTAGGATAAAACAAAATGTATCTCCTAAAGAAATAACATTTTTGCATTTGTAAAGTAGGCTACTTAATGTTGACTTAACGACCAGACCTTTTCTCATACAGGCGCCCCTCGTAAACAGAGGCGCGAGAGGACGACCTTTACGCGCGCCCAGCTGGACATTCTGGAGAACTTGTTCGCCAAGACGCGCTACCCAGACATCTTTATGCGCGAGGAGGTGGCCCTGAAGATCAATTTACCTGAGTCTCGTGTTCAGGTGAGTCCCTCGGCTTTTGAATAAACACACGCGTCCATCCGGGTTTTGAGTCAAGGCCACTTACACAGCTCATTAATTTGGGCTTGAGAAGTCAAGCACCCAGACGCCACTTCAGACTGTGTCTTCTCCACTCTGTTAATTGGATGGAGTGTTCATCCCCCAGTGGACAGCCCTACCAGATCCTCTTTTGCATCCACTATAGCTGACTGTATTGCACAGTAATAAAACATGAATAAAACGCTACAACACATTTTATAGCGTTCATGGGGTGATAAATAAACTGACTGAGCATCCTCTCCATTTTATTATCGATTACGACAATTCAACACATTAATTATTCTTCCAGGTATGGTTTAAAAACCGAAGGGCGAAGTGTCGCCAGCAGGCACAACAGTCCCAGAGCGGCGCGCAGAGCAAGACCAAACCCGTCAAAAAGAGAAGTTCCCCTATGAGAGAAGCCAGCTCCGAGAGCGGTGCCAGCGGCCAGTTCACACCGCCCCCCAGCACCTCAATCCCGCCCGTAAGCAGCAGTACTGCCCCGGTGTCCATCTGGAGCCCGGCCTCCATCTCCCCTCTCTCTGACCCACTCTCTACCTCCTCCTCCTCTTGTATGCAACGGTCCTACCCGATGACATATACCCAGGCGTCCGGATACAGCCAAGGCTACACCGGATCCTCATCGTATTTCAGCGGGATGGACTGCGGATCTTACTTGGCGCCTATGCACCACCAGCTCTCTGCGGCGGGCTCCACCATGAGCCCCATGGGCAGCAACGGGGTCTCCAGCCACCTGAGCCCAGCTTCGTCCCTCTCCACGCCAGGGTATGGGGCAGCGGGACTGAGCTTCAGTGGTCCCACAGACTGCCTGGATTACAAGGACCAGGCCGCAGCCTGGAAACTCAACTTCAACACGGACTGTTTGGATTATAAAGACCAGTCCTCGTGGAAATTTCAGGTGTTGTGAGAAGAATGAGTGAGTGACATTATATTTTCACAACGTGGTGAAATAAACGTCAGTCAATCCGGTGGGCCAGCCAGGTTGGCAGCGAGTGAGTTGGCGAAAGGCATCGTTTTCCAATGGCTGGGCCTGGGCATCAAACTATTACCCCGAACAGCAGCAGTGTGAGAGGAGGGGAGCTGCCGCTCCGTCTGTCTGACAGCGTCACAACCGTTGGGTTGACTTATTGAAAATTCAGTGAACTCTCTTTAACTTTGATCAAGGACATGGAACAAAATTGTTACCCAAGAAGAAAATGATCAAGAGAAGCTGCAACCCTTGGTTAAGCGCGTGGAATGGGTCAGCTTTCCATAAGCTTCTTACAACTCCCCTCTCCTCTTGGTTGGCAAACTAAAGGGGCCCTTTGATCAAAGCATTGCGTGCGTGCGTGTGTGAGTGCGTGTGTGCGCGCCTCTGAGGCGAACCTGGATGCACTATTTAATTTATGAAAAATGTTTAAGACACTAGTTCTAACAGACAATCAACCAGTATGCGTGTGCTCATAAATGTCCCCCTAAGTGTTTTGAATTTTCTATCTGTGTTAGCTTTTTGAGACTGTGATTCCTTGTATGCAATTCCGAGTTTCGCATTTGCGATCACCCAGCTGTGAATTGAATAGTTACAACAACAAAAAATATGTTTAAGTATGATAAATTATTACGATGAAATATTAGTTGAAATAGGGAGTTCTCAAACAGTGTGTGTGGCCGAGTCAATGAGCAGCAAAGGTGCCTGAAACATCAGTATCCATCAATGACCAAACTGGTTGTTATGCCAAACTGCTATGAAAAGGCTAAACACAAAAATAAAGAACGTTTGAACTGATTCCCCAGTGTCGCCTGTTTTGACTTCTTAAAAACATGTTTTTTTCTTTCTAGTTATAGCCTTTATATTGTAATTTTTTTCTGTTAACACATTTGAGTTTTAGTGAAAATAATACATATTACATCAAACATGATGAAAAGGCCTATTTCTCAACAACAATGATATTTTCATTCAAACCAAGGTGCACACACACACAAGCACACACACGCACACACTCGCACGCACACACACACACACACACACACACACACACACATACTATTTCAAGTGTCAGTAGCAGGAATGTGCAGACTGGGAAAGCAACGTTAATCCCCTCTTGCAGGGAGGATAATCCAACATTTCACTGACGGAACTGTCCAGTTCACACGGAGCCGCTTTCCAAGACTCCCCGAGTCACCAACATTCACATTCCCACTAAAATTGTCTGTTAAAAAAGACTACGTTTTTAAAGCTTTGCAAAAGACCCCTTGGATGTCAGCAAATCAGGCGAGGAAAATCCACATTTCCCAACTGAAAATAGGCCTAGGCTATGTGTTTGTCAGAATTGCCATTAAATTCACCCATCACCAAATAAATACAGTATAAAAACACTTTAGGCTAAAGGCCAACGGTTTCTTATTAGACCCGTCCTTTTAAAATCAAACTCAGAGAGGGTTTTGTGTAATTGGTTGTAAAAACGAAAGGAAAGTGTCCACTTGGCCTATGCAGGTCTCATTTATCAGATAAAAGAGGAGCAAATAATATTTTCTGCTGCATTTTATATTTATTTCGGAGAGGGAAATTGACCTTTTTACATTATTTTTCTAGACTATAGAATCTTAATTTATGCCTACAATGGGGACCAATGTGTTATTGGTATCGATTTCACAGCATTATTCCTGCGTGGACATCACGCTATGTTGATATATTAATATATTGTATAATTAACAATAATTTATATGCAAATAGATTTAATCAATATCAGCATTATTATCATCAAAATGAATAGGCCTATACTTTCAAATGGGAAATGCTAATTGCAATGCAATTCAATCAAACATATCAGGGCCCGGTTTGCCAAAAGGCTAAATTCATCTTTAGAACCGTGTGAGCATCGTTAAATCTCCTATCTCTTTCCTAAAACCATCGTTACTAAAGTTGCTCTTGAAAACGCTCGTTATTTAACAACTGCTCAGACCACTCGTAAAGCAGCTAAGTACGTCGTAAGATGCTTTTTTGCCCTTCCGCATAACTTTATACACAGAAGATCTCGCTAAACACAAAATCAATATGTTTATCTGTCTTTCTGTGAACACCTATAACTTCAGAACGACTGTGACAGTGACTACAAATACAAAGTTGCCCATTTCTTTGCCTAACCAGCGAAGGATATAAAGACGCTTAAAATGAAAACCGAGATAACTGTATTAAAAGATAAATACAGTATAGGCTACATAGACCTATATACTTGAATGATATTGAAATCAATTTCATGTTAATTCAATTGAGTTTTAGTTAGCTATTTGTAGCCTAAGCCAACTGTCTGTAATCTTTGCTTATATTTCATGTGTAATGATGTGCCAAATCATTATTTAGGGCATTATCATAGGGTAAGCATTAGAATAAGTGCTTTAATATTTGTAGGCATAGAAGCTGATCCGTCATCAGTATTGTGGAATAATTATAATGTTAAGGTAAGATTGGAAAGGGAGAACGCTGATCCAAGAGCAGTGCTGCCTTTCTTTCGATCCTATCAGTATCGACACAGGCCTCAACGACGCACTTAGCGAACGTACTCTCTGCGTGGTGTTTTGGGAAACGCATGTTACATCTTCGGCCGTTGTAGGAAAGATGCATCGTTAAAACACTGTAAGCCTAAATTACAAAGCAATCGGGAAACCGGGCCAAGATGTATTGCACATCCAGGACTGCGTTTGCAGGCAGCCCAATTCTGGACCTCGTTTCCCAGTTGCGATGTAACATAAGCATTACCATGATCGTGGCAGTTGCATCGTTATGTACGAGCAAACTTTTTAAATGTTTCCCAAACAAGCATGTAGAGAGAACCTTCGCTAAGTGAGTCGTTAGACCATGTGTCGATACTGATAGGATCGAAAGAAAAGCAACGCTTCTCTCAGGATCAGCATTCCCCACTCAAATCTTACCTTAACATTATAATTATTCCACAGTACTGACGACGGATCAGCTCCTAGAGAGATATTACCACCAATGGCTGAAAATATTGTCTTATTATGCTTACACAAATAATAATGCACTAAATCACAGGTTGGGCACATCATTGCGCACATCTTGTCACACAGCATGAAAAATATTGAGGCAAAAATTACAGATATGATTGAAATATATAGCCGAGGGCCAAGTAGCCTATTTATATTGTAATGCAGTCATCTTGGTTTTCATTTGATGCATCGTTTTATCTTTCACTTGTTCTTAACAATTGCAATACTTTGGCAACGTTGTATTTGTAGTCAACTTCGTTCTGAAGTTATCGGCGGTCGGTTAGACAGATAGAATCAAGATGTTTAGAATAGGTAGCCAATGTTTAGCGGAGATCTTCTGTGAATAAAGTGACGCGGAGAGCAAAAAACACACAACGATGCACTTTGGCTGTGTTACGAATTGTCTGAATCACTTGTAGATGTGCGAAGGTTCGTTCTTAAGAGCAACGTTACTAACGAAGGCTTTGGGAAACAGGTCGGCTAGGCTACTAAAAATACATCTGGAAGGTTCTCCCATCTCCACAAAGGAACTCCGGAGCTCTGTCAGAGTGACCAAGGCCCTTCTCCCCCGATTGCTCAGTTTGGTCGGGCGGACAGCTCTAGGAAGAGTCTTGGTGGTTCTAAACTTCTCCCATTTATGAATGACGGCGGCCACTGTGTTCTTGGGGAACTTCAATGCTGCAGACATTTTTTGGTACCCTTCCCCAGATCTGTGCCTCGACACAATCCTGTCTCGGAGCTCTATGGACAATTCCTTCGACCTCATGGCTTGGTTTTTGCTCTGACATGCACTGTCAACTGTGGGACCTTATATAGACAGTTGTGTGCCTTTCCAAATCATGTCCAATCAATTGAATTTACCACAGGTGGACTCCAATCAAGCTGAAGAAACTTCTCAACGATGATCAATGGAAACAGGATGCACCTGAGCTCAATTTCGAGTCTCATAGCAAAGGGTCTGAATACTTATGTAAATAAGGCATTTCTGTTTAAAATTTTTAATACATTTGCAAAAATGTCTAAAAACCTGTTTTTGCTTTGTCAACCGTTTTTTTATCCATTTTAGAATAAGGCTGTAACATAACAAAATGTGGAAAAAGTCAAGGGGTCTGAATACTTTCCGAATGCACTGTATATACAAAGGTATGTGGACACCCCTTCAAATGAGTGGATTCGGACTTCAGCCACACCCGTTGCTGGCAGGTGTATAAAATCGAGCACACAGCCATGCAATCTCCATAGACAAACATTGGCAGTTGAATGGCCCATACTGAAGAGATCAGTGACTTTCAACGTGGCATCCGTCACATCTTTCCAACAAGTCAGTCTGCCCCGGACAACTGTAAGTGCTGTTATTGTGAAGTAGAAAAGTCTAGGAGCAACAGCGGCTCAGCCGCAAAGTGGTAGGCCACACAAGCTCACAGAACGGGACCGGCGAGTGCTGATGTGCGTAGCGTGTAAAAATCGTCTGTCCTCAGAGCCTCCTGAGTGGCGCAGCGGTCTAATGCACATTGCAGTGCTTGAGGCGTCACTACAGACCCGGGTTCGATCCCGGGCTGTGTCGCAGCTGGCCGCGACCGGGAGACCCTTGAGGCGGCACACAATTGGCCCAGCGTCGTCATGGTTTTGGGGAGGGTTTGGCCGGCCGGGATGTCCTTGTCCCTTCACGCTCTAGCGACTCCTGTGGCGGGCCAGGCGCATGCATGCTGACACAGTCGCCAGTTGTACAGTGTTTCCTCTGACACATTGGTGCGGCTGGCCTCCGGGTTAAGCGAGCAGTGTGTCAAGAAGCAATGCGGCTTGGCAGGGTCGTGTTTCGGAGGACGCATGGGAGTTACAGCGATGGGACAAGACTGTAACTACCATTTGGATATCATGAAAAAGGGGTAAAAAATAAAGTGTCTGTCCTCGGCTGCAACACTCACTACTGAGTTCCAAACTGCCTCTGGAAGCAACGTCAGCACAACAACTGTTTGTTGAAATGGGTTTCCATGGCCGAGCAGCCGCACACAAGCCTAAGACCACCATGCACAATGCCAAGCATCGGCTGGAGTGGTTTAATTTAAAGCTCGCTGCAATTGGTCTCTGGAGCAGTGGAAACATGTTCTCTGGAGTGATTAATCATGCTTCACCATCTGGAAGTCTGACAAACTAATCTGGGTTTGGCGGATGCCAGGAGAAAGCTACCTGCCTGAATGTGTATTTTCATGGTTCGGGCTAGGCCCCTTAGTTCCAGCAAAGGGAAATATTAACGCTACAGCATACAATTACATTCTAGACGATTCTGTGCTTCTAGTTTTGTGGCAACAGTTTGGGAAAGGCCCTTTCCTGTTTCAGCATGACAATGCCCCCGTGCACAAAGCAAGGTCCATACAGAAATGGTTTGTCGAGATCGGTGTGGAGGAACTTGACTGGCCTGCACAGAGCCCTGACCTCAACCCCATCGAACACCTTTGGGATGAATTGGAACGCAGACTGCGAGCCAGGCCTAATCGCCCAACATCAGTGCCCGACCTCACTAATGCTCTTGTGGCTGAATGGAAGCAAGTCCCTGCAGCAATGTTCCAACATCTAGTGGAAAGCCTTCCCAGAAGACTGGAGGCTGTTATAGCAGCAAAGGGAGGACCAACTCCATATTAATGCCCATGATTTTGGAATTAGATGTTCGATGAGCAGGTGTCCACATACTTTTGGTCATGTTGTGTATAATGAAAAAGAATCTAAATAATTGTCAATGCTATAATTTATCATTATCATCATTAATATTCTAGAATGATTATT